CTAGGAATATTAAGACTGCAATACTTTGTATACCCAAGTCAAGGGTGACCTCAAAGTTGTCAGAAGGTGGATCGGCATATTATCTGTGTTTACTTACTGTATTTATTTAACATTGCATTCTCTGTGGTTCACAAAACAGAAACTCTGGGCCATTATAGAATAAAATGGCCCGAGCGCTCCCTGCCAGACTTGTCTTGAAAAGTAGTGGTTCTTGGGCCGTCATACTCGGTCCGAGGATGGACAAAAATGTTAACCCAATACTTCGCTAAACTTTTGTCTCAAAACGGGCAACGGTCTAGCTTCTACGGTCATTTTTGGGACGACTTTGCTGTAGAGCGGCCCGGAGCTGGGACCCACTAGCCTACTGTGGCGTGGATGGTGCAATAACTTTTCGGGGGGGTGTATCTTTCAAAAGTGTTTTCTACTTGACAACACCGTGAGCTTGTCCCTCTCCTTCGTACCAAGATAGGATATTTCTATGCAGACTTTTTAGCGGCAACATTCGTTTCTACGTAGGAGTGCGGCTGATACAGCTTCCTGTTGTGATACAGTTTTTCCCTGTTAAGGATCCGGGCGTACTCTGCTGGGTACAGCAGTGACCATCAACCGACGTGAATACCCCTCTAATGTACCCAGTCCCAATAGGTGAGGGTTGGGGACAGGTCCCTACTTGTGATGGTTGTGTTTGCTTCGGTGGAGTTTGGTCTGGAGTGTCGCGGGTAAAGCAGACCGACAACGTCGTTCCCTCACCTGCGGGCACACACGTCATCCAGGTGTGACACCTGGTATTTAAACACCAATGCACCTCTATTTAAAGAGGTTAACCGTTCAGAAATTGCAGCGACGGACATTTGTTTATACATCTTAGATCAGTCCTAACCTGTCTATGGCAAGGATGGGATTCGTTTAAAGAGAGTCATTCGGTGACATTTCACACCCAGACACTGAAACAGAAGACTGCTCTGTAGTGATGACTTTAAGCCGGGATTTTATGTCTCAGGCAGTGTCATTGATCTTTGGCGCCAAGCCTATTCAAATCGTGTGACAGAACCGGTTCGGTAACTTTTCGGGGGGCGGATCTTTCAAGTGTTTTCTAACTGACAACACCGTGAGCTTGTCCCTTTCCTTCGTACCTAGGTATGTATATTTCTGTAGTCATTTTATACAGAACACAGTTTTAGAATATCTATAGTACATGTACGTTGTGTTGGATGTTGCCGAAAACAGACAGACAGGCGGTGAGGTCTATTGCAGCAAAGTTGGGAGTATGACCGTGAAGTTGGGTGTACGAACTGTAAATGTTCTGTCATGGGGGCCAGTCGTGATTCTTTCGCTTTTTTCCCCTCTGACATCGAACCGTCTTAGTGTCCTCCGCAGACTTTTTAGCGGCAACATTCGTTTCTACGTAGGAGTGCGGCTGATACAGCTTCCTGTAGTGATACATTCCCCTGTACAGCCCCCACCTCTCACCCGAAAATAAAAGGCACTCGAGCCACGCTTGTAGAATCAAACCTGTCGGATAGAAAATCAGCTCAGAAAACTAACGGCAAGCTTTATGTGATCATCATACCGACTATGCGTACATGACACGGCCACTTGTATCCGAACATCCAAACATTCGAACATGAAACATAATTTCTTTCGAATTCTAGTTTAGTTTGCTGTGTGCATTCCTCCTTATTTGTTTACTGTGCACCAAAGGGATTGCACACTTCTGTTAACTTTTCGGGGGGCGGATCTTTCAAAAGTGTTTTCTAACTGACAACACCGTGAGCTTGTCCCTCTCCTTCGTACCTAGGTATGATATTTCTGTAGTCATTTCATACAGAACACAGTTTTAGAATATCTATAGTACATGTACGTTGTGCTGATATTGCCGAAAACAGACAGACAGGTAGTGAGTTCTATTGCAGCAAAATTGGGAGTATGACCGTGAAGCTGGGTGTACGAACTGTAAATGTTCTGTCATGGGGGCCAGTCGTGATTCTTTCGCTTCTTTTTTCTCCTCTGACATCGAACCGTCTTAGTGTCCTGCGCAGACTCTTTAGTGGCAACATTCGTTTCTACGTAGGAGTGCGGATGATACAGCTTCCTGTAGTGATACAGTTTTCCCCTGTACAGCCCCCACCTCTCACCCGAAAAGAAAGGCCGCTCTAGTCGCGTCACGCTTGTAGAATCAAACCTGGCGAATAGAAAATCTGCTCAGAAAAGTAACGGCAAGCTTTATGTGGGTTTGACGACAAAAGTTGCGTTTCACCTGTACAGATTTAGGAAACTGTGCGTGCACGGGAAGGTGCGATGTGCATTTGAAGGCAGGTAGTCTGGTCCCTGGTCACTCACAACTCATTTTTGGGCATACTCGAAGTACGCCAGTCTTGTACAATTACACTTTGTTACGCTCCAAATCATGACAGATATCGAACATAAGGAGTGGAATTTTCCTTTGTGCAATTATCTTGAAAACGCCCCCAATTTTCCCTTAAGTGATCATCAGACCGACCATGCGTACATGACAGGGCCACTTGTACCCGAACATGTTACTTTGGACAGCAATTGTTGGATTTGATCCAATTTCTCTCAAATTCTAGTTTAGCTTCCTGTGTGTGCTCCTCCTTATTTGTGTACTGTGTACCAAAGGGATTGCACACCTCTGTCATGACTATCCTTTAAATACTGCTTGAAGTTAAAAAATGCCAGACTCCGTAGTGTTCTTAGGATCCGGGTGCACTCTGACTGCTGGGTGCAGCAGTAACCACCAACCGACGTGAATACCCCTGTAATGTACCCAGTCCCAATAGATGAGGGTTGGGGACAGGTCCCTACTTGTGATGGTTGTGTTTGCTTCAGTGGAGTTTGGTCTGGAGTGTCGCGGGTAAAGCAGACCGACAACGTCGTCCCCTCACCTGCGGGCACACACGTCATCCAGGTGTGACACCTGGTATTTAAACACCAATGCACCTCTATTTAAAGAGGTTAACCGTTCAGAAATTGCAGCGACGGACATTTGTTTATACATCTTAGATCAGTCCTAACCTGTCTATGGCAAGGATGGGATTCGTTTAAAGAGAGTCATTCTGTGACATTTCACACCCAGACACTGAAACAGAAGACTGCTCTGTAGTGATGACTTTAAGCCGGGACTTATGCCTCAGGCAGTGTCATTGATCTTTGGCGCCAAGCCTATTCAAATCGTGTGACAGAAGCGGTTCGGTAACTTTTCGGGGGGCGTATCTTTCAAGTGTTTTCTGACAACACCGTGAGCTTGTCCCTCTCCTTCGTACCTAGGTATGATATTTCTGTAGTCATTTTATACAGAACACAGTTTTAGAATATCTATAGTACATGTACGTTGTGTTGGATGTTGCCGAAAACAGACAGACAGGCGGTGAGGTCTATTGCAGCAAAGTTGGGAGTATGACCGTGAAGTTGGGTGTACGAACTGTAAATGTTCTGTCATGGGGGCCAGTCGTGATTCTTTCGCTTTTTCCCCCTCTGACATCGAACCATCTTAGTGTCCTGTGCAGACTTTTTAGCGGCAACATTCGTTTCTACGTAGGAGTGCGGCTGATACAGCTTCCTGTAGTGATACAGTTTCCCCCTGTACAGCCCCCACCTCTCACCCGAAAATAAAAGGCACTCGAGCCACGCTTGTAGAATCAAACCTGTCGGATAGAAAATCAGCTCAGAAAACTAACGGCAAGCTTTATGTGATCATCATACCGACCATGCGTACAAGACAGGGCCACTTGTATCCGAACATGTTACTTTGGACACCAATTGCTGAATTTCATCTAATTTCTTTCCAATTCTAGTTAAGTTTGCTGTGTGCATTCCTCCTTATTTGTTTACTGTGTACCAAAGGGATTGCACACTTCTGTTAACTTTTCGGGCGTATCTTTCAAAAGTGTTTTCTACCTGAGAACACCGTGAGCTTGTCCCTCTCCTTCGTACCTAGGTATGATATTTCTGTAGTCATTTTATACAGAACACAGTTTTAGAATATCTATAGTACATGTACGTTGTGTTGGATGTTGCCGAAAACATACAGACAGGCGGTGAGTTCTATTGCAGCAAAGTTGGGAGTATGACCGTGAAGTTGGGTGTACGAACTGTAAATGTTCTGACATGGGGGCCAGCCGTGATTCTTTCGCTCCTTTTCCCTTCTAACATCGAACCGTCTTAGTGTCCTCCGCAGACTTTTTAGCGGCAACATTCGTTTCTACGTAGGAGTGCGGCTGATACAGCTTCCTGTAGTGATACAGTTTCCCCCTGTACAGCCCCCACCTCTCACCCGAAAAGAAAGGCCGCTCTAGTCGCGTCACGCTTGTAGAATCAAACCTGGCGAATAGAAAATCTGCTCAGAAAAGTAACGGCAAGCTTTATGTGGGTATGACGACAAAGTTGCGTTTCACCTGTACAGATTTAGGAAACTGTGCGTGCACGGGAAGGTGCGATGTGCATTAAGGCAGGTAGTCTGGTCCCTGGTCACTCACAACTCATTTTTGGGCATACTCGAAGTACGCCAGTCTTGTACAATTACACTTTGTTACGCTCCAAATCATGACAGATATCGAACATAAGGAGTGGAATTTTCCTTTGTGCAATTATCTTGAAAACGCCCCCAATTTTCCCTTAAGTGATCATCAGACAGACCATGCGTACATGACAGGGCCACTTGTACCCGAACATGTTACTTTGGACAGCAATTGTTGAATTTGATCCAATTTCTCTCAAATTCTAGTTTAGTTTGCTGTGTGTGCTCCTCCTTATTTGTGTACTGTGTACCAAAGGGATTGCACACCTTTGTCATGACTATCCTTTAAATACTGCTTGAAGTTAAAAAATGCCAGACTCCGTAGTGTTCTTAGGATCCGGGTGCACTCTGACTGTTGGGTGCAGCAGTAACCACCAACCGACGTGAATACCCCTGTAATGTACCCAGTCCCAATAGATGAGGGTTGGGGACAGGTCCCTACTTGTGATGTTTGTGTTTGCTTCAGTGGAGTTTGGTCTGGAGTGTCGCGGGTAAAGCAGACCGACAACGTCGTCCCCTCACCTGCGGACACACACGTCATCCAGGTGTGACACCTGGCGATTTACACAACAATGTACTTCTATTCAGAAAGGTTAACCGATCCCTATCTTAAAAGGGAAAGAAGGATTGGGCATTGGTCCAGGGAGTGCCTGGTGATGTTATCATTTTGTGACATTTGACACCCAGAACATTGAGACAGAAGTCTTTTGTGTAGTGATGACTTTAATCCATGACTCAGGCAGTATCATTGATCTTTGGCGCCAAGCCTATTCAAATCGTGTGACAGAACCGGTTTGGTAACTTTTCGGGGGGCGTATCTTTCAAGTGTTTTCTGACAACACCGTGAGCTTGTCCCTCTCCTTCGTACCTAGGTATGATATTTCTGTAGTCATTTTATACAGAACACAGTTTTAGAATATCTATAGTACATGTACGTTGTGCTGATGTTGCCAAAAACATACAGACAGGCGGTGAGGCCTATTGCAGCAAAGTTGGGAGTATGACCGTGATGGTGTACGAACTGTAAATGTTCTGTCATGGGGGCCAGTCGTGATTCTTTCGCTTTTTTCTCCTCTGACATCGAACCGTCTTAGTGTCCTCCGCAGACTTTTTAGCGGCAACATTCGTTTCTACGTAGGAGTGCGGCTGATACAGCTTCCTGTAGTGATACAGCTTTCCCCTGTACAGCCCCCACCTCTCACCCGAAAAGAAAGGCCGCTCTTGTCGCGTCACGCTTGCAGAATCAAACCTGCGGGATAGAAAATCTTATCAGAAAAATAACGGCAAGCTTTATGTGGGCATGACGACAAAAGTTGTGTTTTCCCCTGTACCGATTCAGTCCAGTCTTTCACAGTAACACTTTCTTACGCTCCAAATCATGACAGATATCGAACATAAAGAGTAGAATTTTCTTTTGTGCAATTATCTTGAAAACGCCCCCAATTTTCTCTTAAGTGATCATCAGACAGACCATGCGTACATGACAGGGCCACTTGTACCCGAACATGTTACTTTAGACACTTTTGCTAAATTCCATCTAATTTCTCAGAAATCCTAGTTTAGCTTGCTGTGTGTGCTCCTCCTTATTTGTGCACTGTGTACCAAAAGGTTTGCACACTTCTGTCATGACTATCCTTCAAATACTGCTTGAAGTTGGAAAATGCCTAGCCTCCTTCGCAGTCTTGTTGGGCGTCGGCGTTATTTTTTCTCTGAGCGACGCGAGTAATATGCGGCCGCGAGGGACGATTTGCTGCCGAGGGAGTTTTTGCCACGGAGAGAAGGTTTCGCGCGAACAAGACTGCGAAGGAGGCTAACCTTGAGTTAGCTTCTTGAGTTATCGTGTTCACACACACACACACACACACACACACACACACACGAACGCCTACGAAAATATAACCTTCTTGGCGAAGGAAATAAAGAATGTGTTATGTGGTATACATGTACACAGTTCTGAGTGTTCAGTCATTCCAACATTGCTGACTACTTAAGATTTGTGGCATTTGGAAGTTAAGTAAAGTTTATAACTTTATTTGATATAAACCATGCAATTCAGAGTCTCATGTTATCATTTGCTTCATTTTCCGCCAGGTTTCTCCAAAATGTCATCCAAGAAGCCGTTTCCAAACGGCGAGGCAGCTCCGGAAGGTTCTGTAGGTCGCCATGGAAACCGGTGGACCAATGGAATCTTCATGGCGCTGTCAGGACTCGCGGCTGTGGTGAGTTTCGTAGCCCTTCTGTTCATGGTGCGGGAACTCGCCTCCATCCGGGATCAGCAAATGGCGATCATGACAGATCTGCAAGGCCTGAAGGATCAGGTGCTCCAGATGCAGTTGAAGCAAGAGAAGGAGGCTGAGGACAAGGTAAGGATGATTTTGACAGTTTTGACACCAGAACACGGTAGCCTGGGAAAACAGTATGCCCCTAGCCAAAATGTGACGTGAAAGTATATTTTGTAAATAACTATCTAACTGCTGTCTGTCAAAGACCGACTCTCCCCTGAGTTAATTGTTGTGTTTTGTTCACGTTTATAAATAAATCCGGGCTTTTGAAGCTGCTGATTGTTTGTCTTGAGGCATCGTAGAACATATGGAAGAGAAAACTAGTTTATACAGACGTCCTAAAACGTATGAATCAAAATGCAAAACATGCAGCAACAGTTTACCTCAAAAGCAGAGTAACCATTGAACTACAGTAACTGTAATTTTTCAGCCTTGGATTCCTTGTGGGTGCTTCGGTGCTGGTATTTTTTTGTTCTTGGTGAAGACTAAAGCAAAAAAGCTGCTTACCACCTTCAAATGCGCTAGCCAGAGCTTTATGTTCGCTAATGTTTTATGTTCTCACGCGATTGTAGTTGTTCACCGTAACGGAAAGATGATTATCTCGTTATCAGACCGCATCGCCGCCGCTCAGCCCTGATGGCCCTCCTGGTGACGTCCGCTCAACTGAGGATCACAGCGCCACCTTTTGGAAGAGTGCGGAGATGCACCGCAGATCCAAGAGGGACACCCTGGACAACGCTATCCCCTTGCAGAACAAATTGAAAGGTAAATGTGTGCCTGTGTGTGTGTTTGTCTGTGTGTGCATGTGTTTGTGTGTATATGTGTGTGTGCGTGCGTGCGTGTGTGTGTGTGCCTCTACATGTACAAGTTAAAACAAGTTTCTATAGACAAGTTAAAACAAGTTTCCACAAAATACGTTGTTCCTATCTGGACTTATTGGCTTTTTTTAAAGATTTCTCCAGAAAGTCCTCTGCAGTTCCAGAACAAGCTGCTAGGGGGACCAAACCCACACCACATTCCCGACAGGACAAGCTACCTGTCACCAAAAAAGTCAAGACTATAGCTTGTTCAGGACAAAAGATACAAGAACCGGAAGTTCTACTGCAGTACCAATGTCATCCACCAGGAGGCCCATATTTGACCTTTGTCTTCCTAAGACTAACCAGCATACCAAATATCATTACAATCCAAAAAGGCGTTCTGAAGTTATGCTGACTACAAATGTGCGGAAACACAAACACACACACACAGAGACGCGCCAAAAACAATACCTCCATTTTTCATGGAGGTAATAATACAACACTAAAATTAACTAATACAACGACTGAACATCGGAGTATTGTTGTATAAGTGTATATGTATATCCAAGGACTGTGTATTCGTCTCTGTGTGAATGTACTAGTATCCATTAATGTTCATTAGGATGTATCCAAACGCTCACAGAAAATGGCCACATATCAAACCGCCAGATGTTTGACTGTTAACCCTGTTGTCTGTACATTAGAAGTTCTACGCCCGCCCGGTCTGCAAGGTCCGGTCGGTCCTCCCGGACTCCCTGGACAGGTAAATATTGTCCTGCGGAGCACAACAATTGTTGTTTTTGCACAGTACCATCTATAGACCTCTGTATAGGTACGATTTGGGGGTATTTCTCGTGCAACGCATCACACCGCAGCGAAACGCAATGCACGCGGAAGTAACTACATGTATGCCACCACAGGGCAAAAAAGTTGGGGGTCTATTACCTAATGGAGACATGAAATTATTGAAAAATATTGTATAAAAAATGCCAGCAGGACAATTGTTAAACTACCAAACAGACGCTACGTGCAATGTACCGCCAATACTATTGTGGACCTTGCGAGCAAACCTGGCCTTATAAGTATTTTCTTTATGAACTGCACCTTGATTTAGATACTCTAAGTTTAAACTGTCTTTTTTTATTCCTAAGTTGCTGTGTAATATCATTAATAGCAGCTATTCTGGACCTTAACTCGCACTACTTTAGATCCAACTGACTATAAGAGCGGACTAATACTTTAGCCAACCGACATCTTTTGCACTGCAGTCATCCTGCTTTATGCTTCTGCATTCTGCTTTCAACTGATCCACGAATGGCTGTTCATGCCATGTCAAGATATTGGAGATTATGAACGCCTTACGACTCTTTCCCGACGCCTCACGACTTTTCCTACCGTTATATTTATACGTGTACGTGTCGTCTTTTTTACAGTGTAGCTGTCCAACCCCAGCAGCCCCGACTTCTCCTCCGCAGGTCACAACCTCAGCAGCCCCGACTGCTCCTCCTGCAGGTGAGTTTTAGGGTCCGAGTTTTTCACGGTTCTGGAGCTACACGTGCGGGTCCAGTTCATCCTTGTCCGGCGACTCTGTGCACCGGTATCTCTGTGTGTGTAAGGGGTGTGTGGGTGTGTGGGTGTGTGTGTGTGTGGGGTGGGGGGGGTGAGGTGTATTTCGCCTTTTGTTTAACTGCAGATGTTGCATGTATGTCAGGGCAATCCTGACTGGTTCACTTTGCAGATCAGGTGTCGCGGCTATAGACGCATTCCCAAATGTGCAATTCACCAGTTTCCCATCCCCAGAATGCAATGCGAAAACAGGGGGTCTAAACTCATTTGCATAGGACAGGAAGGCATCGGAATGATCCTGGTGACGTTAAACAGCTTGCTTTTCACTGTGTTTTCAGGTGTTGGGGCATTTTATGCTTAAACATTAACTAAATTACTATAGGCGAATCTGACAACAAATGGAGAATGAATTTTTTTGTGTTCTTTTCAACAAGGAACGCGTTACCACTATAACGTTACAAACAGCATATTCCAAAAAAATGCATTTTCTATTTGTTGTCAGATTCAACCTGTAGTAATTTAAGTAACATTGATCATAAAGTGCCCCACCAGTTTCCCATCCCCAGAATGCAATGCGAAAACAGTGGCAAGCAGGATCATTCCGATGCCTTCCTGTCTTATGCAAATGAGTTTGGACACCCTGTTTTCGCATTGCATTCTGGGGATGGGAAACTGGTGAATATTTACATATTTGCACATATATACATACGTGTACATTGTACACTTGGGAATACATCTATAACAGCGACATGGTGCTGCAGTGCACTGATAAAAACGTCGGCTTTGTATAAAAAAAAAAACTTCGTTGTCTAAAGTCTCTTTACTCAGTGACTTACCAATTTGGTGAAAGTATTCACCGTATGTTGTGTTACCAATATTATACCCGTTAAATATGGTACCCTTGTCCTACATGTACATAACCATGATGGGAGTAATTATTTGTTAGTTAGATGTGTCATTGCGACTCTGTTTCTTACCGTTTCCCAGAGGCAGACTGTGCAGCATATAAAGCCGCCGGACACACGACCAGTGGAGTCTACACACTTGGCTCACCCCTGTCCGGTGTAGAGGTCTACTGTGACATGGATACAGCAGGTAGATGTTGTTTCCAGGCACACAGAGATCCGTAATATACACAGGTGTGCCGTAAATATACGCCTGTTTAACGCTTCGCACACTTTAGTTGTTTGGCTACCAATTCGCAATATTTGTGGTATCCAAGTTGATTCAAATGGCACCACACAATACATATTGTGCACAACATGAGTCCAAGCAATAAACCGGTCTAACTCCCCTGCCTAACTCGGCCAAAACTTGCAAACCAACGCTAATACGTCTATGAAGGTTGGACATCCAGGTAATAAGATGCGTCTGACTGTTTCCAAAATCATATCCAGTTACTTGACTAACTGTTTTTTGGCGCAACGCTAATACTTAGTCTAAAACGTAGGAATGCAAAAGTCGACCCTCATGTTATTGATCACACCGCTATTTAATGGGCAAAATCACATCGAGTCGGTCTATTCCAATCGATTTTCACCACAGTGCGAAGACCTTCTGCACTGTCATTAACTCATCATGCAAAAATACATTCATAAGGACATAGCCTAGAAAGTAATGATGGTTGTTTTCCTACAGGAGGAGGATGGACTGTCATCCAGCGCAGAATGGACGGGTCAGTTCCCTTCAACCGGACCTGGGAGGAGTACAAGCACGGGTTTGGGAACAAGAACGGGGAATACTGGCTTGGGAACGAGAACATCCACCTCCTGACTGCTCAGAAGAACTATAGGCTGCGGGTGGACATGATGGACTGGGGAAATCAGAAACGCTACGCCGAATACGATACGTTTAGGTTGGTACTCCTCCTTCCAATTAGAAATTTATCTATTAGTAAGCAAAGCATCATTGTTAGGAAATCACTTAGAAATACGTAAAACAGACAGAAAAAAAGGACAATCCTAAAAACTCTGCTACTGTAAGTCATGTCTAAGTTACTTAAAGATGACCATCATTAGGCATTAGGGTATGTACATGTTCAGGTTATATGCATAATTAGTGATTAAGTGTTAAAGTGGCATCCTGCCAAAGGATAGGGCTTTCACACATACATGATTTATGCATTTATACACTTTATACATGAGATATTATATTTGATAGAAGACCTTAAGAATATGCTAATAACAACATTTCTATCATCATTAAGACAAAAAACACAGCAAAATTTTCACAAACTCTAAGTATTTCATGGAGGTATAAGATCTCTGAACTCTAGTTTGCTTTACAAACAGACCAGAATCAGAATCAATGCAGATTATTGTTCATAACTAATATTATGTGATTTCCTGTTCCCATCCAGGGTGGCCGGTGAGTCGGACGGGTACCGACTGACCATTTCCGGGTATTCAGGCACCGCCGGAGACGACATGAGTTACAACAACGGGCAGAAGTTCTCCACTAAGGACAGGGACAGCAGCGGCTTTTGTTCTCAGCTGTACGGACAGGCCGGCTGGTGGTTTAGGGGCTGCACCCTCGCTTTCCTCAACGGCCCCTACCTGGGCAACTGTGGGAACTCCTGTTCCACGCAAGGTGTGATGTGGTACCGCTGGAGAGGCGCTCGTTACTCCCTGAAGTCTGTGTCTATGAAAATCAGGCCACGATAATCGCATCTGCTGTACTAAATCTGATCACACCCAGTTATCCACAAAACCATCAATCCTACATGTCTGTAACGCTGACAAGTAACGCTCTCTATTGTAGCGGCTTTGTCTGTTACAAACTTACACCAGAATGAGTCAATTTGAATGTACCAGTGAGGCAGACGTCTTTGTTCAGATAACTGGAGAAGTGTTCAGATATAGTTGTTATGGAGCAAACTGTTCAATATGAGTTTTGGATACAAGTGACGATACCTGTAATATATAGCAACTGAGTTTTAAAAAAGCACTTTTGCTTATATTGATGCTGGGTGCTTCTGATTTAACATATTAAAATAATGCTCTTTATGTGGTGTCTCTTTTGTTTTAGAATTTCAGTAACATACTTGTACAACTGTAGTGCTGCAGTCATGGATTCCTTAGTATACAAGACTGTACAAGTATGTAGCCTCAGTCAATATATAAACTATATAGTCTTCTGTAGAATTCAGTAGTCCCTGAGAACTATTGTTACCATAAATAGCAAAGTTCTTTGATCACAACCATTTATTTTTCGTTGACCTAGTATGTATGTGACAATTGCACTACGTTCGGAAGGCATTGTTAACAGTAAAAACTAGCTAAAGTGCACTGTGAACCATGCAATACCTTTAGTGCACTATGCACCGAGTAACATCTAGCGCCAGTGCACAGTAAACCAGTCAGAATTGCCCTGATGAAGATGACAGACGGTCATTGAAACGTCGGCTCGTGAAAAATAAATTGTTGCGATAAAAAGAACTTTGCTATTCATTCGTTTACCAACCTGATGAAATTATTTAGGGACATTGTTACCATAGTAGTTACCCAGAAGAAGAAGTTGCTTATGTTCTATTTTATACAATTGCTGAGTGTTAAAATCATTTATTTCCTTCTGAGCGGAATATTTTCTTCCAGAAAGGAAATGTGTTTGAGAAATGTTTAAGAATGAATATTTACTGAAAGGTGATTTTCTGTAAGGCAGTTCAATAACAGTAAATATTGTAGTCAAGGGCTAATTGACAAGGAATAACATCATGTTGGAAGAATCATTTTTTAATCATTATTTTAAAACTTGTCTCTTATCTTGGCCAATGTTTGGCAGTTTTGTGTCACATTGTAGTGCTGTTGTACACGTACGTGAACAACAGAGAGACTAGAACTATAATCATGGAACACAATTAGATGTACAAACCATTAGTGATGAGGCCTAGGGGGAAAATGTCATGTTTCCATTTCAAGTCCTAAAACACTTAGGGTGGGTTGGTAGGAATCCTTTTTTTTCATTTTAGATTCTGGCTGAAGCTAAACTAACAAAGTCAAGCTAAAAAATACATCATGATCAGGGCTGTCTCCAGTTCCTGTCCACCCCATATGTTTGGTAAAAATGGTTTGGAAAATGCGTGAAATAGCATTTCAGACGATTTGAAATGCAGAAAAAAGAATTTTATGTCCCTTGTCAGCAGTCAACCCAAAAATACCAGCGTTGATCTGGAACCCGGAAACACTACATTTTTCCAAGGTCCCGGATTGCATACAGTAAACTGCTATAAACATATAATGTAATGTCTTCTATATGAAGGATGTAAGACTTTGGTGATGGGTGAAAATAAATTCTGCACTGCTGGTGTTTCAATCCTCTCACGAATGTGGTTTTTTTTTTGTACATTTGTACACTGTGACAACACCTACTCAAGTTCTTTTGAACCTGCATGATTTTTTTTCTGATGTGAAAAATGGGCATGCGGAGTGAGTGAGTGAGTGAATGAGAGTGATTGAGTGAGTGAGTGAGGGTGAGTGAGTGAGTGAGTGTGTGAGTGAAAGTGAGTGAGTGAGTGTGTGTGAGTGAGTGAGTGTGTGAGTGAAAGTGAGTGAGTGAGTGTGTGTGAGTGAGTGAGTGTGTGAGTGAGTGAGTGAGTGTGTGAGTGAGTGAGAGTGAGTGTGTGTGTGTGTGTGTGAGTGAGTGAGTGAGTGAGAGATCTGAAAAAGAAATAGATGTACAGGATGTCTTTCAGCATATGAGCATGAGTCACTGATATAATTAATGCCTAAGATCGTTGGAAGAAAGTCCATGATTTCCGGGCTGTTACATTTTTCACTTTATTAATGAAGTTCCTTCTTTTTGATTTCATTGTTCTCGCCCACTCCATTAATTTTGTACAAACGCCTGAGAACCAAGAGATTAAATTGGCATGGCCTGAACATACCACGTACAAGAGACAGTTGGCAGAATGTACTGTGCCTGTGCAAAACCCAGATTTTGATGTTTTTTACTTTTCGTTGAAATTTGCCCATTACTGACAATATCTTATCGAAAAGTATAGACAGGATGTCATCCGTGCTTTGCACAATACATTACGGGTTTGTCACAGGAGCAGTACGTTTTGAAATACTTCATACAAGTATGCAACAACCCTCAGACATAATTTCTGACTTAAAAACTGGACTTTTATGGGAATTAAAGAGGGATTAAAAACCTGGTGAAAATTCTGCACAGCAAATATGTCAGGGAGTCCTTATGTAGTGTCTGTAAGCCCTTAAGTTGTTTTGTGAGTCTTAGATGTCGGTATCCAGAATAACCACCGGGTCTTGTCTCTCCTGAGAAGCTGCACGATGTCTTTAAGGATGATCCTCAGTCTTCAAGGTCAAGCTCC